GAATATATAGTTCCACTCTCTCCTGGCCTGCAGAGTTTCTGCTGAGAAATCCACTGATAGCCTGGTGGGTTTCTTTGTAAGTTATTTTCTTCTCTCTGGCTGCCCTTAGTATTCTTTCTTTGTCATTGACTTTACACAGTTTTAATATAATATGCCTTGGAGAAGGTCTTATTGCATTGATGTAATTAGGAGTTCTATTAGCTTCATGTACTTGTATATCCGGCTCCTTCCTGAGGTTTGGGAAGTTCTCAGCTATTATTTCTTTGAATAAGCTCTCTGCTCCTTTCTCCCTCTCTTCTCCTTTTGGGATACCCATTATCCTTATGTTGCTTTTCCTAATTGAGCCAAATATTTCTTATAGAATTTGTCCATTTTTTAAAAAATGTTAGTTCTGTCTCCTCTTCCACCTGAATCATTTCTAGATTTCTATCTTTGAACTTGCTAATTCACTCTTTCATATGGTCTGCTCTACTTCTAATGCTTTTTACTTTAGTGTTTATCTCATTAATTGTGTTCTTCATTTACAGAATTTCTGTTTGGTTTTTTTTTTTAGAATTTCACTCTCTTTGGTGTAGTACTCTTTCTGTTCATTAATTTTATTCCTGAGCTCATTAAGCTGTCTTTTGGAGTTTTCTTGTAACTCATTGAGTTTCTTCATGACAGCTATTTTGAATTCTCTGTTAGATTACAATCTTCCATGACTTCAAGTTTGGTTTCTGGAGAGTTGTCACTTTCTTTCTGTTCTGCAGTTTTGCTGTAGTTCTTCATGGTGTTTGATGAATTGATCCTCGGCCAGCACATTTGTGGTAGTAACCACCTTTCTTATTTGGGTAAGGATTTGGTTACTTTGCTTATGAGCTGCTTCTGGTTGTATTTGAGAGCCTGCACTTTCCACCCTCCACTGCCTCTGCTAGAGGTGTCACCAGTGCCCTCCTTGTGCTGCTTGTGCCTCTGAGGTTGCTGGTGCCTTACTCCTTTCAATGTCACTGCCATTGCTGGTGTCACCACTAGTGTCATCGAACTAGCAAGCACCTCTGCTCCTTCTGGGGTCACCTGGGTCACGATTTCCACTACTGGGAGGGGGAGGCAGAGAGTGGACTGAGAGCCAGGGTCACAGGCATCTTTGCCATATCCAGGTTTGTTGGATCTGTAGGCACCACTGCTACAAGTGGGAAGGCTGAAGTTGTGGGTACTCCTGCAGCCAGGGGGGACTGGGGTTGTCTGCTCCACTGTCACTGTTACCTGGCTGCATGTGGGCTCTCCACAGGCTCAGGCACTGCTCCCATGTGCACCATCTGCACTGCTGCTCTCATGTTATCTGGGGGTGCTGGCAGTGCCACTGCCAGGGGCACTGGGTTCGCAGGTGTCACTGCTGCTGCCAAGTGGGCTAGGGTGGTGGGTGACATCACAACTGCCATAGGGGGTGAGGTACCTGGGTCATGAGTGTTACCAGGGTTCCTGAAGCCTCTGTTCTTTGGCACCTTTGCTGTTCCTGGAACCTCAGGTCACAGGCACCACTGCTGCTGCCAGGAACCCAGGGTCTTTTCTGCAGCCCTTGCTGCTGGCAGGGCCAGTGTTGGGTGCACAACCACTGGGTAGCAGGTATTGCTGTAGTTTCTGAAGCCTCAGGTCACAGGCACCACCTGCCCCTGTTGGGGGAGGGGGAGGGGCTGATTTGTGAGTTCCCACTGTGGTTTCTGCAGTGACTAGTCTCAGGCACTGGCATGATTCCTAGAACCTCAGGTCATGAGCACCACTGCTGCTGGTGGTGGTATCAGGGCCTTGGATGCAGCCCCCACTGCTGGAAGTGCTGGAGTCAAAGGCACCACCACTGGGGGAGGGGAGGGGGGTTCAGTTATAGACATCATCGCAGTTCTTGGAGCCTCCAGTCACAGGCCCCACGGTGGTTCCTGACACCTGCAGAAGTGTGGGATGCCTAGATTCCTGGGTCCTCCATTCATGGGCATTACCTCAGTTCCTGGAGCCTCTTGTCTCAGGAGCTGCTGCCACTGGTCCCCTTGTTCCACCACCATTGGGAGGTCCAGTCCACCCACCTCCAGGTGTATAGATGCATGGATCTCTCAGGTGTTCTGGATGTCCTACTGGTTGTAACTTAGAGGAGAAAGACAAAGGGAACAACTCATTCTGCTGTGATGCTGATGTCACTCCCTGGATACATATTCTTTTCTGCACACAGAAAAATAGATGATATGCTGGGCGATAAAGCAAGTGTCAAAAACTTTCAAAAATTACAGTTATATTGACATTTTTTTGGCCACAGTGCAATGAAGTTAGAAAGTAATAATAAAAACAAAACTAGAAAATCTCCCTAAAATAGGTAGTATACTTTTAAACAACCTGTACGTCAAATTTTGAAAATCAAAATGGAAATTTGAAAATATTTTTAACTGACTAAAAAATGAAAATATTGCATATCAAAACTCATGATGGAGGGAGAGATGAATAGGCAATGCACAGAGGATTTTTAGGGCAGTGAAACTATTCTGTATGATGCTATAATGGTGGATACATGTCGTTATACATTTGTCCAAACCCACACAGTGTACAACACCAAGAGTGAACCCTGATGTAAACTATGGACTTTGGGTGATAATGATGTATCAGTGTAGGTTCATCAGTTGTAACAAACATATTATCCTCTGGTGGGGATGTTGATAGTGGTGGAGGCTATGCATGTGTGGGTGCAAGGAGTATGGGAAATCTCTGTATCTTTCCCTCAATTTTGCTGTGAACCTAAAACTTCTCTAAAAACATAAAATGTTAATTTAAAAAGTGTTCAGTGGGCAAAAGATCTGAATAGACACTTGACCAAAGAAGATATATAGATGGCAATTAAAAATATGAAAAGATACACAACATCATACATAATTAGGGAAATGCAAATTAAAACAACAATGAGGTATCACTGCACACCTATTAGAATGGCTAAATCCAAAAAACTGACTATACCAAGTTCTAACAAGGATGCAGAGGAACAGGAGCTCTCATTCATTGCTGGTGGAATGCAAAATAGTACAGCTACTTTGAATCTCAGTCTCAGAGTTTCTTATAATGTTAAATATAGACTTAGCATATGACCCATCAATAACACTCTTAGGTATTTACGAAAGTGGCCAGAAAACTATGTTCACACAAAAATGTGTGTATGGAAAGTATGCACATTTCAACTGTGTGTGGTTGGGAAGTTGGTCCTCCAAATTGCTGATTATTGCTGAAGTTTCCTTTAAGGAATGGGTATGGCAAATAATGAGGGAAGGAGGATTTCACTTTCCATTTTATATATTTCTGGGTTATTTGGATTATTTTTCTTTCCTTTTTTTCTCTTTACAATGATAAAGTTTTGTTTTGTAAGTAAATAAAAAACAATGAAACACTTCTACAAAGAGCACTGATCACGTAGAGTCCTCCCTCTTTACAGGCATAGTTAACCGCTTTTTCCTTTGCCCTTTTTTCACTGTACTCTGTGCTTAAAACTATCAGAGATAAGTAGTAGTTATCACCCTATAATTGTCTGTCTTTCCCACTAGATTGTGAGCTTTTTGAATGGTGGCTGGAATTGTTGACTTATAGTTTATATTCCAAGTACTTAAGAAAGTACCTATTATACATATGCTCAGTAATATTTGTTGGGTGAAATAATGAAGAAATTGATGAATACACTTGCTTAAGAGTGTCTTTTTGGGCAGTAATCCAGTGTAAAGGAAGAAGAGTATTGATTAAGAACTGAGCATTAGACCTGCAATTGGAAAAATTTTCCTTTGAAGGGCCATATAGTAAATATTGTAGACTTTGCAGGCCACATATAGTCTTGCTCTCATATTCTTTGGTTTTGTTTACAACACTTTAAAAATATGAAATCAATTCTTAGCTTGTGGGCCATACAAAAAATACATGAGGAGAAAATAAATGTAACCCGTAGCCTTTCTATGCTCTGCTCCTTGCTCCCACCCATAAAATCTCAATAAATTTGACTTTAGCTCTCAATTTCCTAAGCTGTTATTTCAGAACCCTCCACTAATCATCATCAAATTCTACTACATCTCTAGCTGTGGCCTTTGTGTATGTTATTGGTTTCATCCCACATCAACATGAAATTCAGACCCTTTATCAGCTTTCACCACACACACACACACACAGGTACACATCCACTCAAGTATTTTGTGGGTTTAGTAACCTTAAGGGGTTATTGAGAAGGTTCCCCATCAAGCACCATACAGCTTCTCTGAAGCTCCATAGCTTTCTCCCTCTCTTCCTACAGGACAGATTAATTCCTTTTAAGGTCTTATGCAAATGAAATTGTTGTATTAATCTTTCTGAAACCATGATGCTCAGGGAGTCACCAAATCCAAGAAGGTTTATCAAGTTACTTTTACCAACAGATATAGTTTATTCCTAGGAATAACCATAATAGTAATGATGACAATTATAAAACAGCTGATATATATAGGGCTTACTATGGGACAGACATAGTTCTAAGTACTTTAGTCCTCGCACTAAACCCATGAGATAAGTATTATTATCCTCATCTTACAAAACAGGAAACAGAGTCACTGAGAGTTTAAGTAACTTGCCCACAATCATACATAATCAGTGAAAAAGAAAGTTTCAAGGAGCCAGGGTGAGGGTGATCACTAGTGTCACAAGTGGAGAGGCCCAGAAGGATGAGACCTGAAAAGCAATCCTTATATGTGGTTGTAAGATTAAAATTGGTGAATTTTTAAAGAACTACTTCAGTTAGATATTGGGGTAGAAGCAAGATTGCAGGGCATAAAATAAGAGTGGCTAGTGAAAAAATGGAAGTACTGGTTATAGACCACTTATGCTTAGCTTTTCAGAATTTCTCCTTTGTTTAATCCTCTGTATTTGAGATAATTAAATCTATTCTTTTACATAGTTACATCTATAGTGTTATTCCTGTATCCTCATAAAAGTTGTTTTATGTTGTTACTAACTGTCTTTCTACTGTCGAATTTTCTAGGATGTGGTGCCGCAGGTTGTCCCACCTACAAAGCGGGATCCAGGACCTGCTGAGGGGAAGAGTCATATGTTGGGCACTTCAACAGCCCAGCTTCAATAGCTTATTTCCATTAGCCATCCATTGGCACCATACAGCCTCTAAGTGTCTGAATTGTGCTTGGCGGCAACATGAAGATCATTTTGGTAAGATGTTTGAAGACATACAGTTTATTTTTAATTGTGATAAAAAATACATAACATAAAATTTAACATCTTAACCATCTTTAAGTGTACAGTTCAGGAGTGTTAAATATATTTACATTCTTGTGCAATAACAGATACTTTTTATGTGGACTGAAAATATTTTCTGTGGAGTTGTGAGGACCTTTAGCCCCACTCTATCTCTCATCTAAGGGGAAAAAAAAGAAAAAAAGAAAGCCTCAGTATACATGGGAGAGGGTTTCAAAGACATAGACCGGAAATGCTACAGCCAGGGAAGGCATTAGATGGCAGAAGGGAAAAAGCTTTACCCTTGTGTATTAGTTTCCTAGTGCTGCTTTAACAAATTACCACAAACTGTATGGCTTAAAACAACAAAAATTTATTCTCTTACAGTTCTGGGGTCTAGAAGTCTGAAATCAAGACGTTGGCAAAGCCATGTTCCCTCCAAAGGCTCTTGGAGAGAACTTTTCCTTGCCTCTTCTAAATTCTCTGTTGGTTGCCAATAATCCTTGGTGTTCCTTGGCTTGTGGCAACATCCCTCCACTCTCTGCCTCTATCATCACATAGCCTTCTTCCCTGTGTCTCCTCTCTGTCTTCAAATCTCTCTTTCCTTATAAGGACATCAATTGTTGAATTTATGGCCCACCGTAATCCAGTGTGATCTCCTCTTATCTTGATTATCTTCAAAGACCCTATTTCCAAGTAAGATCTCATTCACAGGTACTAGGGGTTTGGACTTCAGCATATCTTTTTGTGGAATACAGTTCAACCAACAACACCCTGGAAAGGGACAAAAACAATTGTGAAGGCCACAATCCCAAGACCCCAGCCCACTGTGCACTCCAAAGACTGAGATTAGAGAATGCTCTCCTCCCCTACACATTACAAGCGGCTAATAAGCCTCCACTTAAAATAACAGTGGATTACAGCTGGGAAAGCTGCAAGAGACAAACTTTCTCTGAGGTGCAGCACAAAGGGAAGGGACAAGGCCAAGAGAGGAGACAAAAGCAAGATTACTAGAGGCATTTAATGCCTCTGGTACTCATAGAGACAACAAACATCAGACATAGCCCAACTCTTGGCCAGATTGATATAAATATTCACCCTAAAAGTCCTAGTTACCTCAATATCTACTGCACTGTACAACACATCTGGCTTTCAACAGCAACAAGAAAATTACAAAACAAAGGCAAGAAGTAACACAAGTTGAAGAGACAAAGCACTATCAGAACTAGACTCACAAATGACAACACAAGTGTTGAAATTATCAGTCAGGAAATTTAAAATAACTATGATTAATATTTTAAGGACTCTAATTGAAGAGGTAGACAAAATGAAAGACCAGATGGATAATGTCAGCAAAGTGATGTAAAATATAAGAATCAAAAGGAAATCAAAATCACAATAACAGAAATGAAGAATGACTTTGATGAGCTCATCAGTAGACTTGACACATCCAAGGATAGAATTAATAAATGTCAAGATAGGTCAATAGAAATTACCCAAACTGAAATGCAAAGAGAAAATGAGAGTGGAAACAAAATACATAGCAGAGTAGTCAGGAACTGTGGGACAATATCAAAAGTTATAACATGCATAAATAGAATACCAGAAGGAGAAGAAAGAAAGAACTAAGCAGAAGAAATATTTGAATAAATAATGGCTGAAAGCCTTCCAAAATAAGTGATAGATAACAAACCACATATCCAAGAAGCTTAGAGAACACCAAGTATGATAAATTTTTAATAAACCACACACACACAAAATCCCACACCTAGGCATATCATATTCAAACTACAGAAAAGCAAAAACAAAGTGAAGGGCAGCCAGAAGGGAGAAAAACACAGATAAGAATTGCAGCAGACTTCTAATCAGAAATTATGCAAGAAAGAACACAATGGAATGACAACTTTAAAGTAGTAAAAAGAGAGTAAACTGCCAACCTAGAATTCTATGTCCAAAAAATTATCTTTAAAAAGTGAGAGAAAAATAAAGACTTTCTCATACAATGTCTCAAAATATTGTAAAGGAAGTTCTTCTGGCAGAAGGAAAATGATATAGGTCACAAACTTGGATTTGCATAAAAGAGGAAGAGTGTTAGAAAGGAATGAAGATAAAATATAAAATTTTATCTCTCTTATTCTTTTTTTTTTTTTTTGTGGGGAAGATTAGCCCTGAGCTAACATCCATACTAATCCTTCTCTTTTTGCTGAGGAAGACCAGCTCTGAGCTAACATCTATTGCCAATCCTCCTCCTTTTTCCCCCTGCCAAAGCCCCAGTAGATAGTTGTACGTCATAGTTGCATGTCCTTCTAGTTGCTGTATGTGGGACGCGGCCTCAGCATGGCCGGAGAAGCGGTGCCTTGGTGCGCGCCCGGGATCCGAACCCGGGCAGCCAGTAGCGGAGCACGCACTTAACTGCTAAGCCATGGGGCCGGCCCTCTCTTATTCTTAATTGCCCTAAATTTGACTGTTTAAAGCAGTATAAATAACAATGTATTTAGTGTTAATAGCATATGTAAAAGTGAAACAAATGATAACAACGTGACAAAGAATAGGAGGGAGAAATTAGGAATATTCTATTATAAGGTACCTGCACTACACATTAAGTGATATAGAATTATCTAAAAATAGGCTTAGATTATTTTAAAATGTACATTGCAAACATTAGGAAAACTACTAAATAGTTTTTAAAAAACAGTATGAATAATACGTCAAGAAAGGAGATAAAATGGAATCATAAAAAATACTCAGTGAAAATCAGAGAGGGCAGAAAAAGAGGAAAAAGAAATGAAAGAAGGAGTAAATACAACAAACAGAAAATAGCAAGAAGATAGATTTAAATCCAACCACATCGATAATCACTTTAAACGTTACCTAAACACACCAGTCAAAAGAGAAATATTGTCAAATTGCATAAAAGAAAAAAATTCAACTATATGTTGTCTGCAAGAAACACACTTTAAATATAAAGACTCAGATAGGTTAAGGGATGGTGTTGGGGCAGGGGATGTATGGGAACTCTGTACCTTTGGCTCAATTTTGCTGTGAAACTAAAACTGCTCTAAAAAATAAAGTCTACTTAAAAAATTTTTTTTTAATTTAAAGTTAAGGGATGGAGAAACACTGTGCAAATGCTAATCAAAAACAGTAATAGCTATGTTAACTTCAGACAAAGTGGTTTTCAGAACAAGGAAGATTATCAGGGATACAGAGGCACGTTACGTAGTGATAAAGGGCTCAGTTCTCCAAGAGCACTTGTAACAATCCTAAAAATGTAGCACCTAACAACAAACCATTAAAATACATGAAGCAAAAATTGATAGAGATAAAAGTAGAGGTAAACAAATCGACAATTGTAATTGGAGACTTTAATAACTCTCTCTCTTTCAGTAATTGATAGATTTAGCAGGCAGAAAATCAGTAAGGATATAAATAACCTGAACAGCACTGTCAACCAACCTTACCTAAATGACATCTATTGAACAATCTATCCAACAAAGTACACATTGTTCTGAAGTGTAAATGAAGCATCCACCAAGAGAGACCACATTCTGGGCCATAAAATAAAGCTCAACAAATTTAAAAGAATCTAAAAACATAAAGAGTACGTACTCTGACCATAACGGAACCAACTAGTAATCAATAAAAGAAGGATAGTTAGAAAAGTCCCAAATATTTGGAAATGTAGCTATACACTTCTAAAAAATGTATGGGTAAAAGAAGTCTCAAGGAAAGTTAAAAGTATTTTGAACTAAATGAAAATGAATATGCAACTTATCAAAATTTGTGGTAAGCAGCTATTGCAGTGGTTGGAGGAAAATGTATGGCAATAAATGCATATATTAGAAAAGAAAAAAGGTCTAAAATCGATAACCAATACTACTACATTAGGAAATTAGATGAAGAAGAGCAAATTAAACCTAAAGCAAGCAGAAGGAAAGAAATGATAAAAATTAGAGCAGAAATCAATGACATTGAAAACAGGAAAAAAGAAAACAAAATCAATGAACCCAAAAGCTGTTTATTTGAAAATATCAATAAAATTGATAAACCTCTAGCCAGGCTAACCAAGAAAAGAACAGAAAAGAGACAAATTATCAATATCAAGAATTTTTACCACTGATCCTACAGACACTAAAAGGACAATAAGAAGAATACTACAAACAACTCTATGCCCATAAATTTGATAATTATATGAAATGGACCAATTCCTAGAAAAACACTACTATGGACTGAATTGGGTCCCCCCAAAATTCATACATTGAAGCCCTAATCCCCTAAATAGAGTACACTGGAGATAGGATCTTTAAGCAGGTGATTAGGGTTAAATGAGGTCATGAGGGTAGAGACCTGGCCGAATTAAACTGGTGTCCTTATAAAAGAAGAAGAGACACCAGTGATCGAACTCTCAATCTCTCTCTCTCTCTCTCTCCCACATATTAAGAAGGCAGCCATCTACAAACTAGGAAGAGAGCTCTCACCAGGATCCAAATTTGCTGGCACCTTGTTCATGGACTTCTAGTCTCCAGAACTGTGAGAAAATAAATTTCTGTTGTTTAAGTCACCCAGTCTCTGGTAGTTTGTTATGGCAGCCTGAGCAGACTAACACAGGCAAAAACTACCAAAACTTACTCAAGGAAAAATAAATAATTTGAATAGTCCCATATCTATTAAAGAAACAGAATTAGTAGTAAAAAACCTTTCAAAATAGAGAACACTTGGCCAAGATGGTTTCACTCATGAATTCTGCCACATTTAAGAAATATTACCAATTCTACACATTTACTTCCAAAACATAGAAGAGAAAGGAAAACTTCCCAATTTATTTTATGAGGTCATCATTACTCTAATACCAAATCTAGACAAATACAGTAAAAGAAAACTACAGACAGTATTTCATGAATATAGACATAAAAATACTTGCCAGAATATTAACAAATTAAATCCAATATATAAAAAGGATAATATATCAAGACCAG